CCACGCGGCAAAGCAACACCACTTAAGTCTCGATATAACAAGGATGTACCGAAGAACTGTAAGCTTCAATGCAGTAGTCATTTCATCGGCAGCTATAATAAAAGTGTCTTCGGGTGTAAAGGGTTAAAATGGATGGCTGCTATCTTATGGAAACAAACGCAACACATGTTGGAAAGGAGAAAACAGCAAACAATGTTCAAAATCAGCTCTTAATAGCAGCAGAATTTTTACTAGGAGGAAACTCTAAAATTAGAGCGATCTAGTCAAATCAGGAGGTTCATGTACCCGGTCCCTCAATGGTAGAATTTGCTCAAAAATTCTGCGTGCAAATCAATATTCAAAAAATTCCTTTTCCTCCGCAGGAATTTTGATTTTCCCGCATAAAAAATCACAGATGAAGCCATAGTTAATTAAAAATTCTTAGTAAAACAAAATTAGTAAGAGATGTTAATTTGTTTAAGGAGTGCACAATCCCAAAAAACCTTGTGGTAAAAAAGAATGATCTTATCGTTAAATGTTACTGATCATGCATAGAGCGTTATCTGAATAGTATAGAAAAGATATTTTCTTTCTCAAAAGTTGCGGTTTTTTTGCTGCTTTGTTTTCAAATCTTATAGTCGAAGCTAATCAGACTCGAGTTATTCTATAGTAGTTTCGAAACAGGTATTCTGACGAATAAATTGATGTAGAATTTATCGACAGGGGCTTAAAGCAAGACTAAAGGAAAAGCAATCAAGTGACAGACGATGCTCTCATTCCTAGAATTTAACAAACTTGTTGTGAAACATTGTTTTGATGCTTCGTCATCTCCACATTGCCCATACATGTAATTCAGGATTTTAAGTTTACATAATAAACCAAAGTTCTAACAAAAGGCTATAATCTGACTTGCTTGTAAAACAAATTTCTTATCTGTTCGTGACGTCACAAAGTAAACACAATCATCGAAATCCAACTGTATAGTTGTGAACTATTCTTTGTCGTTCAAAACTTCTATTATCTTTCCTTTGCTTTAGAGAAGGGCAATCGGAGAAAATTCAATTCGTTTCCAACAGATTAAGAAGATCGGCTATAATAATGGTTTTAAGATATGCATTGCGATCAGAAAATAGTAGTGAATCTAGTTATTGACTATGTGTAAGCTGTTCCTTGCAGAACATTAGAAAGAAAATCCCAAAAAATTGTCTAAGCTACGTTACGGAAAGAAAGAGCAAAAGTTTGTTTGATTAATAGCACATAAATGGTAGAAGCGAGAAGAAAATCACTGATAGAAATATCAAAGTTTTTGGCCTAAAGTACTATTTCAATTATTGTTCTAACATTATGCAGCACAATATCCAGCTGTTTGAGTGTTGCAAAGATTTTCATAACAACATAAATAAAATTTTGAATCACATTTTAAATTTTTATCCAATATTTCACCAAATCCAAAACCACCACGAGCGACGACTTTCCCAGTTTTAGGATCAAATTTCTAAACATCATAGTTAACTGTATCTGTTGTAAGTTTAAGATAAATAAGAACTAACCGAATAACAATAGAGATTTTTTCCACCAAATGCACCGGATGTCCGTATTTCTTGACCTTTCAATTTGTTTGGGTCACAATTGTCAGCGCCTTTACATTTGTAACATGCTTTTACCTCTGTCTTACCAGTTACTTTTTCTAAATTAGAATAAAAACCAAAACATTTCAGCGAGTTGAACAGTGAGAGGCTGTTTGCACATTAAAATGGTATATGAAGTTAGGGTTAGTTTCAATTACCAATAAAGATCATGACATAGTGGTTAGAATCAGATTTTCATCTTTTCCTTGAAAAATTTATAACAGCAGTAAAATCAAGACCTTAGAATTTCTCGAGAAGTTCTTTTCTATAAAAGCGCAAGTTTCGGACTATCAAACGTTTAAATTAATATTGGATTGTACCGACCATTGCCATAAAATTTTCCTTCCATTCAGGTGAAACTCGAGCTCTTTATCATGTAATCTGACGAAATATGTTTGCAATGATGTCTGTCGCTCATAGAAGTCTAGTTTGGAAGCCTAGTGGCGCCAGTCTGTTGTACGATTTGCAGGGTCCCGAGTAAAACTGGCATAACTTTTCATTAATGCATCGCTCAAAGCTGGGAGACATGTCATTTTAATCAGAAACATTTACTCTGCGAACAAATGTCGTTAAAATCCTTTCTGGTTGTTCTTTTCGAAATGACAGAATTCCTAAAGGATGAGTTTTGTAGGTTTTCAGAAACCACTGGTATTGACAAAAACAGTATAGATTCTAAGAGCAGGCTTCCTGATCTCTCTGGACATGTACTTGGTGTTTCTGCAGATGGTCTTAAAATCTTGACTGAGATCTGAATAAGATTCAATGACTCTACTTTTATTCACATATTTGTTTTGCTCTCGTGTAGCTATAGAAATAACATTTTATACTGTCAGTTTTGTTCTAGACTTCATTCGTGCTCGTCGACGCTCAACAAGTGCCCAGAGACTGTACACTGTTATTCAACGTCCAGGAATGGCTGCCCGAGAATATAAAATTTTTCTAGAAAAAGTAAAGGACAATAAATTTCTTAATGAATTGTAAAAGAACATTAAAACTCCCGATCCTTCGTAGCGAGATCCTAACAGATTTTTTCTTTTTCAATCTTGAAAAATCTCATACAAAGCAACCTGTATGCTGATAAAATATGAGCAAAATATTATCAAATCTTAACATCTTCTAATCTTACGATCGTCGAAAAATCTGTCCGAGTTGTTAGCCAAGTATGAGTGAAATCTTGAGAACGTCTCAACAAGATTCGAATGAGTTTTTGACTAATGATATGTGCTGAAATTGTTATGTGTTCCTATCACTTTTGAAGAGTTACAGAACGGTTTGAACATGCAACTCTGCTAGCCCACCTTAAATCTGTGACGCTTTATTCCTATTGTGGATTCTCCATATATATCTGAATGAAATTACGTTGAGATGGTTCATCCTCATCTTTTTTCTTTATAAAATGAAGTGAACTGAACAAGTTTAAACGTTCTCACATTCTCAACATATATTCAGGATTGTAAAAATACGAAAAAATATTCTGAGATACTTTTGCAACTTAGTTTTCAAGTAGTTGTTCGTATCATTCAAGTATTCACAAATATAAACACTGTGTATAATGCTTCGAGTAAGAAGAGCATGATGAAATGTTACTCCTTGAGCAAAAATATCTTGCTAAACTTCGAACAGTTTCAACACTGTAAAACATGATTATTCAGAAATGTAATCGAGTAAGATGCCTCTATTTCGGTGAGAATAAATAAACTCAAGTTGTCTGAGGCTTCAGACAAACAAAATATTGGGCTCTCATTTCTAAATACCGAAGTGAAAGTGAACATTTTAATTGTTTATTAACAGGGACATCAGATCCAAAACGTGAAAATAAAAATAAGAAATTCCAAAGTCAGATAATGACCAGACTAGTTCAAACTAGTTTCAAAAGCAGAAAAGTGTCGATGTTCTGGTACTCAACAGCAGAAACGAGGCAAAAAAAGGTTCAAAAAACAGAATTTTTCTGCCAAAATCACACAATCTAGGATCCCTGATCAGGCACCTATCTACAAACGAAGAATTTTAAACAAGTTTTTTCGTTCTTCTGAAACCATTACACAATAGATGAGATACATCAGACTGTGTTTATGACACAATGTGCCAGATTTTCAGAAGCTGAAAAAAAGCTAACTTCTAACCCTGAGGATGTTAAGTTGCTACCGATAGAAATTAATCAAAATGGATGGAGCAATCAATCCTTCATAACTGAGAAAATTGGACTAGTTGGCAATTCCATGCATTGTTCTCGAAAATTTTGACTTTTTCTCTGACTCTTTTGGTTAGCAACATGGCACAATCTATCAATAAAAAAGGTATGTCTGACGGTAAGAAGAATGACAATCGAATGCGACGGTAGCTCTTGTATTAAGACCTCCAGTTAGAAGTGACGAATTTTTTAAAAGATCGATAGTAAGCTGAGCATACGATTAGATAGTTCAAGGTGGACAGTATCAGAATCAGAGCTTGGATTTTATCGAAGGTGCTCGAGGAATTTTGAAAAAATGTTGTTTAAAAGCCTTAAAAAGTTGACTAAATAAAAATTTGTGCTGTATACATACGTAGAAAAGCGAAACCCGAAATGTTTTCAACAATAGCCTATTAAAGCGCAAATAATTTTAATCAAAATGAGAGATTGTTTGTTTGATGGAAAGTTATCCGAGTTCAAAGAGAAGCCCTAAAACATGCACCTTACACCGGTACCATAAGGTTTCAAAGTCGTTTACTTTAGACGTGCATCATTTATAAAATTTTTCCACTATGTTAAGCTCGGATTGGTCTTAGATTAAAGAGAGAATTCGGCGCTATGATGCAACAGGGTCTGGTTTTTGAAACATTTGCTTCTTAACGTTTTTCCAATGTTTCACCTTGAAAATTCGAAAAATCATGGGCCAGTTTTCGGATCGAGTTCTGCTGCATCACATCGCCGAGTTGTCTCTCTAATTTAAAACCAACCCGAGATTTCTAGGTCTTAAGAAAGAGAAAAAATTCTGTAAATGGCAATGTCTATTTTTCTGACTCTTGCATTTGAGATAATTCTTGCAAAACTCAATATTTCGAGTTGGCATCTTTATTATGAACGTATTTGGAGAGGACTAACATTCACTGGATATTTTGTTCAAATCGGACATTCTCTTTAGAAAATAGATTTTTGAATGAAGGGGGCTCTTAATTGCGTTTCTATTAGACATTTGTCCGCGTAACCTGACACTTCGCTGATTAAGTTTCTAAAAATGTTTTATTATCCGGGAACCGATATGAGCACCACTAGATGCAGTTTTTGGCGCTGATTACAAATCCGACCTCTTTCGCAAATAAAATAAAATTTTTAGTGGAATAATTTTAATTTAAATTTTTGACCTAGAAATGTTTTTAAAAATTTAAAAATTTACACCATTCGATAGAAAATAAAATTCTCTACAAAATAGCTCAGTTTTTTTGACAATTCGACTTTAAGAACAAAACTTATGCCATTTCGATGTTTTAAGGTTCCAGTCAAATTCAAACGTCTGAAAAAAATTTTCAACTTTACTTTATCCATAAATCGATAGAATATCACCAAATCTATGGCAAATATAAAAATCAAGTTATTTCGAAGAAAAAGAAAGTTTTTTAATATTGGATATCTCGTAAGCTTCTCTAAAATGTTCGCCATCTCCTCTAAAATGTTCCATTTGTCCAAGTAGTTTCGCAGGAAATTAGCGTTTAACTGGATGTACTCGCAATTTAGGGCCTTTTCTTGTTACATCCGTTACGCATCGAATATTCCGTCCAAAGCTGTAAATATTACCCAAATTTTCTCATTTTTTAAACAGAGACAGAGGGCGATGAACTGCACAAAATGGCGGTAGAATCATCCTTCTAACTGTTATATTTTCTACAAAAATTGAGAATTAGTATGTCAAAAATATCACGTGGTTACGTTTGGAGAAGCTGTCTAGACGAGAACTTGGCAATCGATATGTATCTCAGCGATAACTGAGATTTTGTGTTTTAATACCGCATTCTACCTTGACTGCTAATATTCAACGAGACTAGACATATGGAGCAACTAAAAAAAGATTTTTAAAAGTACAGCAACTGAGGCAATTATTGATCTTCTAGAAAGACTGGACTCAGAGCTACGAGCTCAGTATGAATAATTTTCTAATGAATTTCAACAACGACAAAACGAGTAGATAATGATGAATATTTTATAACGAACAATTACATTTTGAGCAGCGATTTAAAATAACAGAAAAAGCACCGAGCTAAAGAGAAGAATTCAATAAAAATAGCTAGACAAAGCACTGACTGATTTAATAACAAAAGCAGAACTGGCTTCAAAGACTAAATAAAAATAAAACATCAAGCAGAAGTCTGGAATAACACAAACAAAAGTGAGTTCAGATTCAGTACTCTAACTTTCTTTCTTTATGGTTTTCAGTTAGATATTGACCATCAGATGAAACCAAGTTAGTGTTCTCGAAACAACGGCAATTAATTTACAAGACAAGTACAAAGTAAGAGATTTTTATTCTAAATGCGCGATAATCCCTGTGTAGCACTGACGAGGGAACCATCCGTGATGATAAGTCGCTTTTTGATCGAAATCCACTGGATTATAGGTTATCGATCATGTTGATTCCGAATATGATCATGGGAGTTTCCCATACCCCTTCAAAGATCCGGTGTTTTGGACCTGAAACTGTAACGAATAACTGAAACCTTTCTTAACGAGGTATGATTGTACCGCGCAAATTATTGATTAAAATGAGATATCTTCCAGCTCTACACGATCTTTCTTTGCAAAGGTATAGAATTTACAAGAAAAGCCCTGAATGCTCATTGTTAAGTCAAACCTATAGAAGTAAGAACCACAAAAAGTAATTTAGAGTTTTTTTTGTAAATTCTATAACTTTGCAACGAAACATCGTGTAGAGCTAGGAGGTGTTTCATTTTAATCAAAAATTTGCGCGCTACAATCATAGGTCGTTAAGAAAGGGTTGGGTTATTTTTAGAGTTTCTGAAAAACTGGTTTTCCAGAACACCGGGTCTTCAAAGGGCTATGGGGAAACCACATGGTCATATTCAGAATCAGCAGGATCGATAACCTATAGTTCACTAGATTTCGATCAAAAAGCGATTTACCACGTCGAGTGGTTGGTGATTCCTTCGTGAGTGATACTCGAGCGAAGAATAGATGCGTC